ACCAACACACACACACACACACACACACACACACACACACACACACACACACCCTCAGAATGTGTCTTCTCTTCTCTGGTGCTGAAAAGAAAAGGGAAGAAATAAAGTACACAGAAGAAGAATTAGACAGAAGTGAGTAGAGATGGAGAGAGAAAGGGGTTCGGGAAAGTGTGAGAAGGCTTATAGAGGCATCTTTGGATGATGCATCTGAGTTAGATGCGGAGTAAATGTGTTTTCCTCCCTCCCCAGCTCCACCAGTGAAGATTTGGGGTTGGGGTTAGGGCAGAGGAAGGACACAGGAAGACAAAGGGAGGACTCTCAGAGATGCCCACCGGGGCAAGGAGAAACAGAAGCTGGAGGGAGACTCAGATCCACAGCTGTAGGCTGGGGTTTGAGGAACAGAGTTTCCAGAAAGGCTTGCAATTGAAGCCGTGGATCCCCTCCCCCGTCTCTCAGCTCCCCAGGAATATTCCACGGCAGTTAGAGGCCCTGACCTGCAGAATGGGCTGAGGGCTTCTGTTGGGTCCTGAGCTCAGGTGTTGGACATGAGTGCTTCTCCTCGCATTCTTTCCCAGACACCAGACCCTTTGGTAGAAACTGATCTGTCCCCTGAGAATATTCGGAGGAGGAGGGCCAAGTGCGCAGGGCAAGGAGAGGGGCTGGGAGTTGGGATGAATTCAGGAGCCAAGGGGCAGAAGAAGAAGACCTGGGAAGGAAGGGGGAGAGGGCTGGATGGCAGGAGGAGTGGAAGAGAGAGAGTCTGGCACTAAAGGAGGATGCAGACCCCTGTCCCTTCTTCCAACAGCCACAGCTGGCCCAGAGAACGTCAGCACTCTCAACTGCCCTTCCTGCGGAGAGTTACCTACACCTTCCGCTGGCTGGCACAAGTGGCAGCGGCAGAGATCAGCCTGCTGGCCTTTATTCTGCTTCTGCTCATGGTCTTCTCCAAGCAGTGGCTGTACCCCTCTAGGAGCCGCTTCTTTCAGCGCTGCCCCGAGAATGTCACCAACACAATCTACAGCTCAGTGTCTATCATGTCCATGGGACTCATGTACCTCTGCAAATCGAAGAGCTGTGCCAATGCAGGCAGAGGTGAGCCCTCCCCCAGCCCCAAGCTTCCAGCCAGTTTGCACCTGGGGGGGAGATGGGTGAGAGGGGGATAAGGGGGGACCACCTGCCCTTGTCCCCCTCTCTCCAGTCATCATTTTGTCCTGCAAGATGGTGCTCTATGGATACTAAGACCTACAAAGGCAGTTGGTTTTCTTCTTCCAGTATGGTCAAATAGAGTTGTTAATGGGAAAATGTCACCCCACTTTAGATAAGTCCCAGAGTCAGCACTCTGCTTCTAAAAAAAGAGACCTGTGTGTGTGGTCTGCGTGTGTGCCAGATTGAGACTTGAACTTGGGCCTGAGCACTATCCCTTAGCATTTTCTGTTCAAGACTGTCATTCTACTACTTGAACCACAACTCCACTTCCATTTTTTTTTTGCCAGTCCTGGGGCTTGAACTCAGAGCTTGGGCATTGTCCTTGAGTTTCTTTTGCTCAAAGCTAGCACTCTACCACTTGAGCTACCACATCACTTCCAGCTTTTTCTGTTTATGTGGTACTGAGGAATCAAACTCAGGGCTTCATGGATGCTAGGAAAGCACTTTACCACTAAGCCACATTTCCAGCCCACTTCCATCTTTGTTTTTCTTTTTTGGTATTAGTCCTGGGGCTTGAACTCATGGCCTAGGTGCTATCTTCCAGCTGCTTCTTCTTCCTCCCTCCCTCCCTTCCTCCCTCCCTTTCTTCCTTTCCTTCCTTCTCCTCTTCCTCTCCCTTCTTTTGCCATTTCTGGGGCTTGAACCTGGGTGCTATCCCTAAGCTCCTTTTTGCCCAAGACTAGCACTGTACCAGTTAAGCCACAGAACCACTTTCAGCTTATTCTGTGATTTATTAGAGATAAAACTCATGCATTTTCCTGCCTGGGCTGGCTTCGGACCATGCTACTCAGATCCCAGCCTCCAGAGTAGCTAGGATTATAGACGTGAGCCACCAGCACCCAGTTAACCTGAGTTTCTTTTGCTCAAGGCTAGCATTCTACTAGAAGCTCCACTTTCAGCTTTGTTGTTGTTGTTTGTTTCAATTCAGGGCCTTGGCACTGTTCTTGAATTTTTTTACTCAAGGCTAATGCTCTACCACTTTGAGCCGTAGTGTCACTTCCAGTTTCCTGGTGGTTAATTGGAGATAAGAGGCTCACAGACTTTCTTTCCCAGGCTAACATTGAACCCCTATCCTCAGATCTCAGCCTCCTGAATAGCTAGGATGACAGGTGTGAGCCATCTGTGCCCAGCCACTTTCTAGCTTTTTGCCTGTTAATTGGAGATGAGTCTTACCGACTTTCTTGCCCAAGCTACCTTATAACTGTGATCCTTACCTCTCAACCTTCTGAGTTACAGGCATGAGAAATGGGCACTCAGAAGACAGATGCGTTTGAATCACACAGCACATGTGAGAGAAGAGCCAGGTGCGAGCAGAGGAGAGCATTTCCTTCCTCTTGGCTTGAATACCCACAGTATTGGGTGGGATATCCTGGAATACTCTTGCCTAATCAAAGCCCTGGTCCCAGCCACTTCCTGTGCCTCTGCCTCCAGGCTTGCTTCTCTGGACCACCTCTGGCTCCAAGGAATTTCCCTTTTCTGTCTAGTGTCTGCTCCTTGCTTTCTTGAACTTTTGCAACTGCTTATTTCCTGAAGTGAGTCTCATCTCTCCCCAACTCTTAGAAGTTGAGCCTCTTTTCTCAGCTCCAGGGAAACTAAAGGTTTAGACGCCCATTTCTGCATGTTCATTCCCCTGAGCATAAAAGAAAAAAAGTATAGGGCTATTCATTTCTTCTACTATGAAAAACAACCCAGCCTTAGAGCAATACGTTTAGGAAAAAGTATCATTTATTGGATACTTAATTTGTTCAATTAAATCTTATTGCTAAGAGATTTTTTTTTTGTCGGTTGTGGGGCTTGAACTCTGGGCCTGGGCGCTGTCCCTCAGCTCTTCAGCTCAAAGCTAGGGCTCTACCACTTGAGCCACAGCGCCACTTCCGGTTTTCTGGTGGTTTATTGGGCATAAGAGTCTCAGGGTCTTTCCTGCCCAGGCTAGCTTTGAACTGTGATTCTCAGATCTCAGCCTCCTGAGTAGCTAGGATTAGAGGCGTGAGCCACAGGTGCCCAGCTGAGATACAATTCTTGTGTAAGTACTAAGGCTTGAACTCAGGGTGTCATGCTTTTGCTTGGCTTTTATTCATTTTTTAGTTCCGGTCTTGGGGCTTGAACTCAGGGCTTGGGTTCTGTCCCTGAGCTTTTCTACTTTTTTATAAGGGTAGTACTCTACCACTAAGCTACAGCTCCACTTCCAGCTTTTTTGTTGGCTAACTAGAGATAAGACAGACTTTCCTACCTGGACTGGTTTTGAATTGTGATCCTCAGATCTCAGAAGTTGGAATTTATAGGCGTAAATCACCTGCCCTGAGTTTGCTTAGCTTTTTCATTCAAGTCTAGCTCTCTGCTACTTGAGCCATATCTCTACTTCTGATTTTTTCTATTTATATGTTACAGGACTTCATGCATCCTAGGCAAGCACTCTACCACTAACCCACATTCCCACTCCTACTGCTGGTTTTTATTCCCCACCTCCAACAGAGCCTGTTTCACTTTCCTCTGTGTGGTGTGTGTGTGTATGTGTGTGTGTGTGTCATGTGAATGTGTCTGTATATACTGAGGCATTGTCCCTTAGCTTTTTCACTTAAGTGTGGTGCTCTAGCATCTGAACCACAGCTCTATTTTTGTCTTTTTGGTGTTTAATTGAAGAAAAAAGTCTCACTGACTTTCCTGCTCAGGCTGACTATGAACCTCTAGCCTCTGCTCTCAGCCTCTTGAGGAGGTAGGATTGCAGGCATGAGCCACCAGCACTCAGCTAATCTTGGTTTATTTAGTAAGTGAAAACATTGTTTTATTTATCTATTTATTTATGTAGATCATGGGGCTTGAACTCTGGGCCTGGGCGCTATTTCTTAGCTCTTTAGCTCAAGGCTAGCGCTCCATTACTTGAGCTACAGGGCCACTTCTGGTTTTCTGAAGATAAGAATTTCAGGGACTTTCCTGCCTGAGCTGGCTTTGAACTGCCATACTCAGATCTCAGCCTCCTGAGTAGCTAGGATTACAGGTGTGAGCCACCAGTGCCCGGTGAAAACATTGTTTTATTATTATAGCAAGTGTCCAGTCTTTGGTGATGAGTGGGCCTGAACATTTTTTTTGTATATTTGCTCATCTTTTGTAAATCTTGAGTTCATCTGTTTTTATTGTTTTCCCCAGACAGTTATAATCTGTTGACACATCACCCAATCTTTTTGGTGGCCATGATGATCTTCCTTCTGGCCTTGGCCCTGGGTTTCATCCTCACCATCTGGTTGCACCTGCCCTATCTGCCTCATCTGCAGAGTTTGCCTAACTTCAGCTTGATTGGGACCATCCTGAGCTTTTGTGAAGGTGCCTTTCCCGCCACCCCCAAGCTCTGAAGAAGGACCTCCGTTCTTCCTGACACTCCTTTTCTGTGTGTGGGGCTATCGGGCAGGGTGGTGGTGGTGGTGGTGGTTAGAGGTGGTGGGAAAAGAGAACTGAAAATCAAATTACATTACTTCGTGGCCACTGGGAGGTGGGGGTGATTCCACAGTGGAGTCCCTGAATCTGTGTGTTGGTGGGAGCCATGGCTGGTGCCTCTGGCCTTGCAGACAATGTTGAATCTCTTGTGGGATTTCTCAATGAGACTCAGGCCTCTGCTTTCTGTCTCCCAGTCATTTTCATCTTCGTCATGCTCCTGCTGTTTCCCATTAACCTCTGGATCTTTGAGTTGAAGAGAAATGTCTCCATTCCTATTGGCTGGAGCTATTTCATTGGTTGGCTGGTGTTTATCCTGTATATCATCTGTGGTGAGTGGATAGGAGGAGGCCTGGGGGAAGGAGGACAGGGGGGAAGGAAGGGAAAACTCTCAGGGACTTAATGGTCCCTCCTCTCAACCTGCTTGTCAATCTTTTGTTTGTTTTTGGTCTGTCATGGGGCTTGAACTCAGGGTTCTGTCCCTGAACTCTTTTTCTCAAGGTTAGCAGTCTACCACTTTGAGCCACAGCTCCACTTCTGGGTTTCTAGAGGTTCATTGGAGTTAAGAAGTCTCATGGAATTCCTTTCCATAGCTGGTTTTGAACCGCCATCCTCAGATCTCAGCCTCCTAAGTAGCTAGGATTAGGTAGTGATGAGCCAACAGGACCCAGCTCTGCTTGTCAATTTTTTTTAAATTTAATTTTATTTTATTTGTGAACATACTGTACAGAGGGGTTACAATTGCATGGGCAGGATAATGTGTACATTTCTTACCAAGCATTGCAGCCTCCTCCTTTGTTTACCCTTC